CTTCGTCCCATACCCATTCAACATGTGTATCTGTCCATGAATCTACCCATAGGATACTGTCATTCCAAAGTTGTGTGTGTATATATATATATATATATATATATATATATATATATATATATATATATTAGCCCTTGTATACTTCCCTGCGTCTTCACCTGTCTTCATCGTTCTTCTGCCAACCTCCCTCTTCTTGTATATTGTCCTTCCCTTCTTGTATATTGCCCTCCTCATCACCCGAGTTAACAAGAGAGAACAACACTAGTAAAATATGTTTACTATGAATGATGGAATGGTCAATCATTCAAAGTCAAAGAAGCAACATGTACCTAAGGACAAAGGTGAGAAGGGATGGGAAGTGGGAGGAATGGAAATAGGAACTACAGGGAGGAAGCAGGATAACTGCTGTTGCATGGAGGGGTTTACTATCATTGAGATGAAGCAAAGTGTCTTATTTGTTGAATGTAAAATTAATGATCTTGTCTGCAAACCTTCACTCAATTCACAATAGAAAGTTAAAAGAAAAAAAAAAAAAAACTGCGAGGAGTACTTTTTGTTATTCGGTGCCATCGAGTCACTTCTAACTCACTCACTCAACGGAACGAAACACTGTCAGGTCCTGTGCCAGCCTCACAGCTGTTGCTAGGTTTAAGCCCATTGCTGCAACTATTATGTTAATCCATCTTGCTGAAGGCCTTCCTCTTTTTAGTTTGTGATAGCCACAGGCTGGTATTCACAGCTCTATAAGTAGTAGATTTTTAAGGGTCTTGCAGATTTCTTAAGCCTTATACATCAGACATATTATCAGGAGGGACCAGTCCCCAGAGAATGACATCATGCTTGGAAAAGTGGAAGGTCTGCAAAAAAGAGGAAGATCCCCAACAAGAAGGGTTGGCATAATGGCAGCAGCAGTGGGCTCAAGTGTAGCAACAATTGTGAGGTTGGCACAGGACCGAGCAGTGTTTTGTTCTGTTGTGCATAAGGTTGCTATGAGTCAGCACCAAGTCAATGGCACTTAACAGTAATAACAGCAACACATTTACTATTAGTTAAGGCCTCCAACTCCATTAGGGAACTAGGAGCACAAGAAGAGTTGTGAAATAAAAGTTTCTAACTTCTGATAAATCCCTATAAAAGTTTGGAGGGGAAAAAGACCAAAACTAAACATGAAAGGATACTTTTCTTCCAGTAACCTATATATTCTTTATAACTGATGTATCACAAAAACTCTATAGCAATCTCTGAGATCTTACAAGAGTCAAATTGTTCACTTAATTCAAAGTATATGCATATTGGAGCATCGGAATGATACTGCATGCACTCAGGTAATGATTTGCAAAATGGCTTCTTGGTGTACTAAAATACTTGACTTTAAGTCCCTTATAGTTCTGGTGTGGCACTGTAGGATAAGCACTGGACCACAAGGTTGGTTTGAACTGCAGCATCGGTGGTTCAAACTCACGAGCCGCTCCTCAAAAACCCTGTATAGGGTCACTATGAGTCAAAACCAACTCCATGACACTTAACAACAGCAACAAAAGTTTGGTCCTGTTGATTAGCACCGGACACTTTCATAGAACATATTATATAATTATAAAGGCTAGCATTGGATAAAGGAGCCCTGGTGGTACAGTGGGTTAGGCATGGGCTGCTAACTGAAAGATGGGCAGGTTTTCATGGGAGAAAGATGAGGCTGTCTGCTCCTGTAAAAATGTAGTCTCCGAAACCTTGTGGACCAGTTCTGCTCTGCCTTGTAGGGCCACACTGAGTTGGAATCAAATCCTTGGCAGTGGATTTGGGTTTTGGATTATTGGGCTAGACTCAGAAAACTCCAACTTGGTCAAGATTTCAATTGTTTTCCTCTGTGTAAACCATATAAGGAATAGCAACAAAAATAAAAAGGAAACAGTAACTATTAACCTGAAAGAATTACTGCATGTATTGCCAGAATGTATGATTATCGGTTGATTCAATTCAGCTGCATATTTTATGTCTACTCTAAGTGGTTACATCACCATCTTTATATATTCATTGTCTTTAACATTGGGTTTAATATGTGTGAGCTGGTAAGAATCATTCACCCACTACTTAGTCTGCTGACCTTGAAGAAAAGTCCTTTTTTTTTTTTTTTTTTTAGTTTAATAACCACACAGAACATATCTTAAGAGTTGGTTTAAACAAGAAATAGAGAAAATTCCAGGACACACCATAGTAAAACAAACGTAAGGTAAATTTAGAGAATATGATAATTGAAGCCCACTAAATTGAGGAAGGGATTAAGGTCAACACATAACAGCTTGAGAAGCAAACTGCCGTACATTGACTTTCTACTTTAACCAATGAGGTTCGTTTAGCAACAGAAGGACCTTTGTGCATCTGTATTATAAGGCATTGTATCATTGTCTCAAGAGATCGTTTTGACAGTTGCATGTGTACTAAAACGTATACATATCAAATCAAAACATTAACGTTTTTCATCAAAATCTTGCAAGGCAAAATGGCCATGTATGGTGGATTGTTGTTGTTATTAAGTGCCGTCAAGTCAGTTCCAACTCATTGCTGTCCTATATAGGGTTTCCAAGGAGCAGCTGGTGGGTGTAAACCACTGACCTTGTGGTTTGCTGTCCACTGCTTATCCTATAGTGCCACACTGGGAGTCCATAAAGTGGATTTAAGAGATACTAAAAGACAATAAGCAATATCTAGAATTAAAACTAAAAAATAAATATTAAATGCTTTGGTTTCTAAACTTTCATTTAAAATCCTATACATTATCTTGGTGGCAAATTACATTAAATGTAACATGCCTGGAATGTAATAAGCCTGGAATGTCTTCTGTTCAAATAACAGGATAAAGAGATTTAAGGTATGTGGCTTAGGACCAGATCTGATCCCAAGAATCTCCTTCTCCAATGATTATGGGAGAAAAGCAGGGACAACACAGGAGTTGTAACCCAAAAAAAGATAACATATAGACAATTGGTTGACTCAGTATCACTTTTCTGTAAGAAATGGCATCGTAAAATGATTTGCATAAATGGCTAATATATTAAAGAGGGTATGGCATCGTAGTTCAGAATCTTTGTCTCTGGAGTTAGACATCCTGAGTGTAAGTCCCAGTGCTGACACTTAATGGTGATTGATCTTTGGCAAATGAGTTAATCCTTTTAAGTTTTAGTTTCCAAACCTATAAAATGGTGATAGTAATAGAATCACCTACTACATGAGATAATGCACATGCATTCCTTCTGGAAATATTTCCTTAGTGCCTGCTTTGGACTCCTGGTGTGGCGCTGAAGGAGATCAGCACTGGACTGTGACTACAAGGTCAGCAGTTCAAACCCACCAGATACTCCTCGGAAACCCTATACAGTGTCACTATGAGTTGGAACCGACTCAACAGCACTTAACAACTTTGTTACAGATGCTTTTCTAGGCTTTAGGATTACATAGCATAGCGTTTAGGAAAGGGTGATTAAAAAGGTGCAGCACATAGCTATAGAGAGGGTTAAGGAAAACCAGTTAAGGAATCTGTACTAGGTGCTAGCAACAGTGAGTCTCCATTACCACCTGAAAGGTTAGGGGAGAGAATGGGATCTGATCGTGGGGAGATTCATAGGTATGACAGAGAGCTGCCCAACAGGAATTGTGCGCTCAGTTGTAGAGATGATGCCTCTACCGCCAAACTGCTTCCCAACCAGGAAAGAGCAAGGGAAATAAAACCCTTTCTTTTCTCTCCGACCTTTTAGTCTCACTATTGGTTTTTCCTTTTGCTCAGTCTATTAAGAAGTCAGAGTGATAGGAACCTGGTTGAAATAGTCCATGGAGATCAGCTTTCTAAGGTATACAGTAGGGGATATGATTTGAAAAGACAAACAGAATAAAACAAAATCCCTGTCTTTATAGGGCTTGTATTCTAGGATACATTTAACTGTGCCTGGCATAGACTGAAGGATCTTGCTGGTATTATTCGTAGCAATAATACTATGAAAAGAAGCTTCATAAGGCTTTCCTAATCATAAATTTTCAGATTTACTTTGATTTTGCTTTGAGTGTAAGGTAATTTTACTTAGCCATTCCCTAAGATTTTTTAGATATTTATGAAGCAGACATCTTTTAAATGGTCTTTATTATTATTATTATTGTGGAATTAATATGTTCTTAGGGGGAATGTGAAGTGCTCTTTTCCTCAACTCTGGCCTAAATTGTGGATTATAACAAGTGACTCTGCTGGCACTAAAGTTTCCTTCTGATGGCTCTTACAGTCATGTGCTTTCCCCATGCTCAGAGAGTTTGCAGAGCAAGTTCCATGATCAGAACAGATTTGTCCCCATCTTCGAAAGCATCCATGTGAAAGTTCAGGCAATGAAAATCTTAAGCATAATATTTAATCTAAATTATTATAAATACTGGAATCATTTGCAAATGATTCCATTATATATGCTTGATTTTGTTATCAGTTGAAAGATAAGCTAATATGTTGAAGAAAGATTTTCAAGACAATAATAAAAAGAAATTAATTTTCCTGGTTTGACTTTATTTAACTGAAAAATCTAATTAATAAAGCATTGCATTTCTCAAACATCAGAAGTTCAATACATCATGAAGGTGTTGGTTCTTCATAATTGTCATTTATAAAATCATATTTCCTAGCTTTATTTTCATAAGATTTTCACATCACTTTTGAAATTTTAGGTTATTTGAGTGAGAGACAATAATGTCAAATAAAAGTGGTAGTTCTTCCAGAGGAGAACAGGAGAGAGGGGACGCATCTAATAGCTATTAAGACAATGAGCACATACAGTCAGTGTTAATCAAATTAAAGCTTATTGTATGTAAATGTACCTATTTGTTGGTAACTTTTATTACATTGGCCCAAAATGCATAACAGTGTCTAATACTTTTCTTTTATGATTTGTTTCTAAAACTCACATCTCCTGCAGACTTTTCCTTTGCAGCAGCAAAGTAAATCATCTCTTTGTTACATGTTTGTATTTCAGCCAACTCAAACAGTAATGCCAGGACAAGTCATGCGGGTTACAACAGGTGCTCCAATCCCCTGCGGTGCTGATGCAGTTGTACAAGTGGAAGACACCGAACTTATCAGGGAATCTGATGATGTACGTCATTACCAGGTCTTATTGCCCCATTATTCCTATGGCAGTATTATTTTCTGTAATGCGTATGAGATTAACCCATTATGCTGGTTATGTTGGAATCTTACATTGTAGCGAATGAGTCATGGCATTGTTGTTGTTGGTGTTAAGTGCCATTGAGTCGGTTCCTACCCAGAGCGACCCTGTATAGGGTTTCCAAGGAGCGGCTGGTGAGCTTCAGCTGCCAACGTAGTGGTTCAACCAGCTTTAGGCTTGAAAATATATAATCAGAGAGTTTTGTGTTTGTTTGTTTTTAATGAGTATTGCTTATATTATAGAAGAATTTGAACTGTGTTTGACCCAAGAAATTTCTCATGCAAATAAGGTAGGAAAATACCTCAATAGAGAAGAGCAGAGATATTAACTATTGAACTATTCAGTATTAATTCCTAGTTCAGAGAAATTTGTTCTGAAAAAAGAAATACTCATAATGTATTCAGTGTTTAGTAGAGAATTTAACAAAGAACACTTGGACCAGTTCTTAAATATTCTACTAAACCATGCATTTGGACCAAATGACCTTCCAGCTGATTTTCTATAATTCAGGGAAAATCTGTGCTACCGAGTAACAGCCTTGAGATATTAAATGTATGTCAGTTCCCCTCTGTTGCCTGAAAATTAAGGACTTTGATATCTTTTGGGGTCTATGCAGATCTTCATCTCACTGAAAGTAGCTGAGTATCAGTCACTTAATAAGTAAAATAGTTTCAATTGAGATTTTAATGAGTGCCTATCTTTAGTTGTAAAGAACTTTTAAGATACCGTGTTATCTTAAGACTGATAGTAAAAATAAGTATATATTCTCATGGATTGCGTATTTAGTGAAATTCAGCCTCTAAGAGATACCCACTTTTTCTTGATCTAAGCATTTTCTTTTAAGTCAACTTCTGGTGATGGTGGTGGTGGTGGTTATGTGCCGTGGAGTCGGCTCCGACACACTGTACAGGGTTTCCGAGGCTATAAATCTTTATGGGAGCAGAAAGCCTCATCTTTTTCCCGTGGAATACCTGGTAGTATCAAACTTCTGACCTTGCAGTTTGCAGCCTGATTTGTAACCACTACTCTACCAGAGCTTTTAGGGCATATAAAATTCAGCTTTTGTGAATGCACACCACAGTGTCTGCTGTCAAAACAGACTTGTTGGCATCGGAGAAACCATCAGAGCACTGAAATCCAGAACACATGTATCCAAAGACTCTGCCATATGAAAAACACAGTTCCAATGTCACAATTTCCACAGCTCCCAAATGGAAAATTGATGATCACCATGAAATTATAGAAATCTACTACCACACAAGTCATAAGTCCTTCACTGAAATTTCTGGAGCTACTTGGGAACCATGGCATATTGCCAAACCCATAATTCATTAGAAAAGTATGAACAATAAGGTATTTCATTTATATTTTGGCACAAAACCTCCTAATCTTTTAGGATCCAAAGGTAGAAATTCAAAGTGTTTTCAAAGATGTAGTGAATGGGTTTATGTTTGCATATATTCTGGGCGTATCTGATGTTAAAAACATGAGTATATAAATTCTCCTGATAATAATTTCTGTTTGAAATTATATGACATTCTTTTATTACAGGGCACTGAAGAACTTGAAGTACGAATTCTGGTGCAAGCTCGGCCAGGCCAAGATATCAGGTAACTGTAGCATATAATATGTTACATTTGCTTTCAAACCAACTTTTGTTTCTATGTAATCATGAACTCAAGAAAGCATGACTATTATAAATCTATAGCTGTATTGATTAGCTGTTAGTTTTCAGGGCTATTAAGTAGCAAAATTAATTTTCTGAATTCTTCATTCTATGTCTACCCTGCCTATTATTTAATAGTGATGCTTAAAGCAAATGAAATAGTTAAAAGCAACATGTGAGGAAGGCAAATTCATGAGCATGCATAATCCACAGTTAGCTCTACCCCTAGATAATCCACAATGTGACATTAATACAGATAATCTCAGAATTTGATATTTACATAATTTTCTGGTAGCTCTACTGATTGCCAATAATAATGAAATCATCTGCTGTTCTTTATATACAAAGATGAGTCTACTGTCCTGCCGTTAGTAGTCCATATACTCTAAGTTATTATTCTTACAAGGGAATATATGCTAATTTACTCAATAGTCCCTTATAACAAGCCTACATTTCTAACATCCCTATGGCAACAGATTAAAGTGAATCTTTAAACCTCTGTGCCCACAGAACAAGATGAACCTAAAGGTCCAAATGGAAATTACCTCTATAACTGTAAGCTCATCAGCATTATTCTTTCCACAGTAGAGCTCACCAGCTATGGACTTCTTATCATTTAAAATCCTGAGACACTTTGATATAAATTCTTGCCTTATTGCAAAAAAAAAGTTCACAATTGATGTTTTTAACTGTAATGTAGTACAAAGCAATTTGTAAAGTAATTTTTAAATGCTGAGTAGCATTTGTATTGAGCAGTAATAAATACAAGTCCCATTTTTCTCTTCCATTGTGTAATTTAATTTTAAACATAAGAAAAAGCATAGGTTTTTAGAATCTCTTCCTTTCTTTATCCTGCTCCTGCCTCATCTCTTGACCTTTTTCTCCCCTTGAGTGTTCTCCTTTTCTGGCACTAAAGTTTCCTTCTGAGTTGAGAAAATGTCATTCCTAGTCATACTACCTACGGTTCTGCTTTGACTTTCAGACCCATCGGCCATGACATTAAAAGAGGGGAATGTGTATTGGCCAAAGGAACCCACATGGGGCCCTCAGAGATTGGTCTTCTGGCAACTGTAGGTGTCACAGAGGTTGAAGTTAATAAGTTTCCAGTGGTTGCAGTCATGTCAACAGGGAATGAGGTAAAAAAAAAAAAAAAAAAAAAAAAGGAGGGGGGTTGCTTTTAGATAAAGTGTTTCTGATATCTGTTCTGTGTTATAAATAGAACATTGTGGATTATAGATCTTACCTATGGGTCCATATTCCTGTAATAGTTTAGCATTGGGATAGTTTCAACTATAAAAGATGAGAAGAAGATAGATCTAGAAATTACATATTAAGAAATGTTCTCTTCCATTTATTAGAATGAGATATTATAGCCAAAGGCCTCCCATCACTCTCAAAGCACATAAACAAAGAACAGTTATCTACTAGCTATAGATATTTAACTGTACAAACTTAGTACTTAGTCTATTAGGACAATAAATTCTGCCTTCCCTGCTGCTGAAATGCTGTACCACTTCTATGTAGGAGTAATTCAATGAATCTGGACACCATAGTTATCCCTTCTTCTTACTAAAAGTGCCATGTGATTTTTAATCACCAGGAGGTTTTGGTGATCAGTGTTTTTCTCTAAAGATAGCATCTTTAGTAACATCTATTCAAAATGTGTCAAAATGTCATTTCAGGCTTGATTTCAGAAGGAGCATTATGTCAATCATTTTTTTTTTTTTTGAGGACTCTTGAAAATCCCTGCTCCCTGTTTAGTTTACGTTGTATGAAACTTCACTCGTAGGCTCCAAGGTCAAACTGGGAATATTGAAAAGTGAATCTGGAAGAAATTCAGAACCTTTCAGCAAACCAGAAATTGTTCAAGATTTTAAAAAATTATTCCTTGTTGCACTATAGGATATGCACTGGACCACAAGATTGGTTTGAACCACAAGGTCAGCAGTTCAAACTTACCAACTGCTCCTCAGAAACCCTATACAGGGTTGCTATGAGTCAGAACTGACTCAACAACACTTAGCAACAACAACATTAAAGAAAAAATGAACAGAATTTCTCAATTTCTAATTTTATTCTGAAAATAAATTCTTTGTTAATGTTATTTTTTAATTTTTGAAACTTGGAAAATGGAAAAAGTCTATATGGCCCTTTGGTTGTTTTAGAGAGGGGAAAAAAAGAATCGTTTTTTTTGTTTTGTTAATGGAGAGAAAAATCAACATTTTAGATTTGCTTACTTTAAATGACTTGTTATCATTTAAAACCCCTGTATAGAGTACCAGTCATTTTCTAAAACTATAGATTGACCCCAAAACAAACATTCCTTTCAATTTTGTCTACATGGTAATAATTTTAATATTCCTTGGATAAACTGACACTATGCTTATATTAAACTCATTGATATAATATTGATTTAATATTCCTAGGACAAACTGACACTATGCTTATATTAAACTTATATTAAACTCATGAATCATTCTCATTTGTCATTTATTTATAAGCTTTGTACACCTAAGTGAGTTCATGGGTTGTTTAGAAAAGCTAAGTAGAATGAACAAAAAGTCTTTTTATCCTACCTAATTATTAGGAGACTTTGTATAAACTATCTTGTCTATAATAATTTTGTTGTTGTAGTTGTTGTTAAGTGTCATTGAGTCAGTTCTGACTCATAGCAACCCTGTGTAGGGTTCCCAGTGAGCAGCTGGTGGATTTGAACCACTGACTTGTAATTAACAGTCCAGTACTTATCTTACAGTGCCACACCAGGACCTCATTTATAACACTCGATAGCATTCTCTTTATTTCCTAGAGTACATTGGTAGTATTTTTATAAAAGCTACTATTATTTTTGTATTCAACTGTTCACTTTTAGCAAGGAACGGAACTCTGGTGGTGTAGTTGGTTAAGCATTGAACTGCTAATCACTAGGTTAGCAGTTCAAATGCGCCAGCTGCTCTGAGGGAAAACTATGAGGCTTTCTGCTCCCATAAAAATGTACAGCCTTGGAAACCTTATGAAGCAGGTCTATCCAGACTGATTCTGTTTGGCTCCCTGCTCCTACTTTCTCTGGCCTGTTGTACTTGCCAGTTTTATGAAGGAATCATGCTTCTGGTTTCCTTTAGCTTGGCATTCCTTTCCAACTCTTATCCAAAGTTAGCTATTGTTCTGGTTTTATATGATCCTATAGTAAACTTTGTTGTTGTTGGAGCTCTGGTAGCGTAGTGGCTACGAATGGGGCTGAGACCCGCAAGGTCAGTAGTTCGAAACTACCAGCCGCTCCGCAGGAGAAAGATGAGGCGATCTGCTCCCGTAAAGAATTACAGCCTTGGAAACCCTGTTCAGGGTCGCTATGGGTCGAAAACTGACTCAACGGCACACAACAACAACAGCAACAATAGTAAACTTAATAGTTTGCTAAAGGTAATACAGAAAAGGCTACAATATTACATTGACAGAGAACTTCCAGAGGTTCAAGCCGGATTCAGAAGAGGCCATGGAACGAGGGATATCATTGCTGACATCATAGTGATCTTTACTTAAAGCAGAGAAAGAATATCAGAAAGATGTTTACGTGTGCTTTAATGACTATGCAAAGGCTTTCAATTGTGTAGATCATGACAAGCTATGGACAACATTGCGAAGTTTGAGTATTCCAGAACACTTAATTGTGCTCATGAGGAATCTGTACCTGGACCAAGAGGCAGTTGTTCGAACAGAACATGGGAACACTGAATGGTTTAAAATTAAGAAAGGTGTGCGACAAGGTTGAATTCTTTCACCATACTTATTCAATCTGTATGCTGAGCAAATAATCCAAGAGGATGAGTTATATGAAGAAAACATGGCATCACGATTGGAGGAAGACTCATTAACAACCTGCGATATGCAGATGATACAATCTTGTTTGCTGAAAGTGAGGAAGACTTAAAACATTTACTGATGAAGATCAAAGAGCACAGCCTTCGGTATGGATTACATCTCAAGGTAAAGAAAACAAAAATCCTCACCACTGGACCAATACACAACATTCTTATCAGCGGAGAAAAGATTGAAGTTGTCAAGGACTTCATTCTTCTTGGATCAACTATCAACACTCACAGAAGCAGCACTCAAGAAATCAAATGACGTATTGCATTAGGTAAATCTGCTGCACAAGACCTTTTTAAAGTGTTGAAGAGCAAAGATGTCAGCTTGAGGACTAAGGTGCGCCTGACGCAAGCCATGGTATTTTCAGTAACCTCATATGTATGTGAAAGCTGGACAGCAAATTATGAAGACTGTAGAAGAATTGATGCTTTTGAGTTGTGGTGTTGGAGGAGGATATTGAAAGTGCCATGGGCTGCCCAAAGAACCAATAATTCTGTTTTGGAAGAAGTGCAGCCAGAGTGCTCCTTGGAGTCCACGATGGCCAAACTTCGTTTCTCACACTTCGGACATATTGTCAGGAGGGACCAATTGCTGGAGAAGTATATCATGTTTGGTAAGGTGGAGGGTCAGAGAAAAAAAGGAAGACCTCCAATGAGATGGATTGGCGAAGTGGCAGCATCGATGGACTCAAGAGTGGCAACAGTAGTGAGGTTGGCCCAGGATCAGTCAGTGTTTCGTTCTGCTGTGCATAAGGTCGCTATGAGTTGGTACTGACTTGATAGCCCCTAACAACAACAACAACAAAGGATAAAAGAAGTCCCTATGAGTTGGAACTGACTCATTAGCACTTAACAACAACAACAAGGATAAATGTGAATTGTGATTTCATGTGGCATCTAATTAAGTTAATTTAGTTGTTTAGTGTTTTTTTATTAAATGTTTTATTGTGAATTATGTGATAGTTTACATGGGAGATCATTAGCTCTACAATCATCCTGTCGTATATCGTTTCATGGGAGAAAAATGAGGCTGTCTGCTCCTATAAAACTTTAGTCTCCGGAACCTTACGGACCAGTTCTGCTCTGCCTTGTAGGACCACACTGAGTTGGAATCAAGTCCTTGGCAGTGGATTTGGGTTTTGGATTATTGGGCTAAACTCAAAAAACTCCAACTCGGTCAAGATTTCAATTGTTTTACTCTGTTTAAACCATATAAGGAATACCAACAACAACAGATTAACTTAAGTCAGCACATGCTGGGGTACTGATGTGGTACATTGGACCACAAGCTCAGTTTTAACTTTAAGGTTGGTGGTTCAAACCCACCAGTCACTCCTCAGAAACCTTATACAGGGTTACTATGAGTTGTAACCAACTCAACAGCGGTTAACAACAACAACAGCAAATGTTTATTGCGTATCTCTGTGCCAAGCACTATACTGAAGATGGAATAAAAACCATAAATGAAGCATGTCTTTCTTCAAGGTTTGAGATCCTCAAAAATATACCCAGAAAACATTAACCAAAACAAATAAGTAAATTTTGTTTCTTTTCAGAGAGGCCAAAAGAAATTATACTTGTGTTTTTGTTACACAGCTACATGAAGCCAATCACAGTAGTCTCCCCTTAAGTACTGAGTCTGTTTTCTCTTGATATATATAGTTTCGTATATATATATCCACTTCTTGAATCCAATCTGGTATATTACTAAGTAGGACAGTGGTCTTAGGCAAACAAAAGGATGCTAACCAAGATGTCTATGGATAGTGTATTTAAAGTGTACCCTGTATTTTGTGAATACATGAGCTTTTTAATGATAAGAGAATTATTTTAAAATATCAACTCATGGTGTTTTCAATCTTTCATATGTATATGAAAGCTGGACAGTGAATACATTTAAATTATGGTGTTGTTCAAGAATACTGAATATACCATGAACTTCTAGAACAATTAACAAATCTACATTAGAAGAAATATAGCACTAATGCTTCTTAGAAGTAAGGATGGTGAGACTTCGTCTTACATGATTTGGACAAGTTATCAGAAGGGACCAGTCCTTGGAGAAGGACATCATGCTTGGAAAAGTAGCGAGTCAGCAAAAAAGAAGCCAACCTTGAATGAGTTTGACTGATACAGTGAATGGCACAGTGGGCTCAAACATAGTAATGATTGTGAGGCTAGAACAGGACTAGGCTGTGTTTGCTTCTGTTGTACATAGAGTCACAATGAGTCAGAACCAACTTAATAGAACCCGACAAGAACAATAACAA